TAAGACACTATGGGGATACGTTTGTACCGGGGTACTACCCTGCCCTGCCTAATAGTACACGCACATCGAACCAGGGTTTTTGTTTTACGATTGGTAATTCACAATAAAGAAACATACTGTGCAATCTTTTATAAGTGGAATTCGCCGTGGCCACCAACTGAGAAGACATATTTTTCTCTTGAAGTGACAGCCGCCTTTTGTTCAGTTTCTCTTCACTTAAAGTGGTTCCTTCTTATGGCTCTTTCAATGTGTTTCACTGGCCGCCCCTGCTCTTTTTAGTGTCACCGTAACTTAGGAAACGACGAAGGCTACGGTCCCGGTGAGCCAATCAGTACATCGGAGGGAGCCACGTGACTCTGCCTCATTATAGTTCCGCGCAGTGCTGTCAAAGTTACGGACGGTAAAGAGGAAAAAGTCGTTTTTCTACTAATTTGTAGTTATGGGCCGATCGATGAGGGGCGAAAAGCGACGTCTGGGAGACACGAAGAATGGTATACACACCAGCTCGGAGCACGTGCAGCGAAAGCTCGCGCTGCAGAACCCAGGTATCCTGGGTTCAATCCCACCTAGCCCGTTTCGATCTGGATCAGCATATCGTACCGACGTGCGATGGTGTATAGCTGCTGCGTGGTGCACCTTAAAGGGCCCATGAAACGATTTTTGGGTTGGGATAAATCATTTTAGATGGGGATTTTACTAATAGCACATCGTTCAGTGGACCAAAAGAAAAAAGGTAGAAAGTCAAAAGCCTGACTTTCAGTGCGAAAATTTGAAAACAGAGCGGACTATTTCGTACCTCCTCCCCCTCGCAACCTCTCTACCTTTTCACTGTGATACATCCGCGGTCCCAAAAGCGCATCAACGGGTCCAAACTGACGTCACACGCAACCGGACCTCACTTATTCCCTTCACCCCTAAGCTGACATTCTGGTGGAAGCTACGCGCTTGCCGGACTAATCAGCCGCCTCCCTTTCATCACTCGACCTCATTCTCTGCAGCCACATTTGCCACGCTCACGTGGCAAATGTGGCTGGCCCAACGAGCACGTAGCTTCAACAGCACTGTCAGCTTCGGAATGAACGGGGTGGGGAAAGCAACTTTTGTCTGAATTTTGAGCGACGGGCTAATGTTCTAGGGGGAGAATGGATGTGTCCGGATTACACAAACGGGAGTGCGAGCGAGAGGAGCCTCCCTTCTTTTCGTCTTCTTGAACTGTTTGGTGGAATGCGCGATTTATAAGTTGAGGAGGAAAGCTAAACAGGAAAAAGTTGGAAAAGCGTTTCATGACCCCTTTAAAGACCACAGGCAAGCGGTCGTAACGCACTGACTAAATTGCTTATCTCACAACTGAGGGACAAGTCGCCCGGTGAGGCAGACTAAGTTCAGGTTGTATAAACATACTCACAACCAAATTATTAATTTTTTCCAAAGAGGGTACGGGTTAGGGGCGAGTTCCTCTTTCCCGCCTTCTCTAAGTGCCAGGGTTAGCCCTCACCCCCATCCCCTTGGTAATGGCTGTCACGTGATTCCTTTCCGTCGGTCTGATTGACTCCAGGGAGTGCGTGTTCTCTCATTGCCAAGTTTCGGTTAAACGAAATAGAGTAGTCGCCTCGCGGTCATTTCAGGAAGAACGCAAGTTTTGCGCATTGTTCCCACGTTACGCTAAGTAGTTCTACGTGACAAGACAAAAAACTTGCGATCATGTATGTTTTGACAAAATAACAATTATCTTATTTCAAATGCACAGTTTTCTAAAGTTTCATGATACAAGTGCTCCAACAACTCATGCCACCACTTGACTCTACATTAGGTTGACCACATCTTTGCCGTCGAAATGCGGGATACCCTGACCGGGGGAGGGAGAGGGGGGGGGGGGTAAGATGAAGATGACGTCACTTTCACGACTAAAGAAGAAAGTATTAAAGAAAATTCATCAGCACGCCCACTCCGAAATCCTGTGCTGTCCGAAAGCATATTGTACACTTGAAAACTGTGCTGCGGCAATTGTAATGGTAAATATCTTATTAAAGGTGTCTAAGTTAAAAACCTAAAATTCGACTGCAACAAAACCCAATGGATCAAAAGGAACTAAGAAACAGTAAATCTTTTTCGGCTTATTGTTTCATGATGATACAAAATTAGACCCTTATGTTTCTTTTTTCGTTGGTCGAAAAAAAAAATTAGAACCTTATGTTTTTTTTGGTAAAGACAGTTACACAAGGCAAAAAGTCTGCAACAGACTTTTTGCCTTGTGTAACTGTCTTCACACAAGAAAAATCTTATTACAACATTTTCTTTTGCATCACACAGTATGATTTGCAAATAATTCCAATAGTTTATTTTTCAACTTTTTGCGAGAAATTTTCGCTTGCTATATTTTGCCATCAAGGGGAGAGGCACAATGGATGGCATGCGCCTCGTTCCCCTGCAAGAACGACGGCCGCTTTCCGCACTGCTTGGATAGAAAATGTCAAACAATCGAGATTCACACGCTTACGAGCGACATGCGCGCTTCCCCGTACCCCGTTGTTCGGAAGCGCCATAATTTGCCAAGTGAATGTTACAACAACGTGAAATGCGGGACATTTTGAAGATTTGGGAATTTCTCGCGGGACGCGGGGCACAAGCCCTCAATGCGGAACAGTTCGCGAGTCGCGGGACGGGTGGTCACCCTACTCTACATAGTAGAGCTAAACTATAGTTGAATTATCAGATGGTAAATAAAGCTATTATTATTACTATTAAGTAATGACGTCACTGCCCCGGATATTCAAAATGGTGGCTATGTTGAGATGCAATCGTTTTGCTTGCTTTCGATCTTAATTTTGAATTATTAAAATAATAACAATGTTCTAGCAAAAATAACTTGCGTTACGAGAAAAGTTTGTCTATGCCGTTCAGAAAATACATTTTCTGAGTGGTTAGACTGTAAGAAGCATAAGCGTAGCAAGAGTGGTGCATGGCAAAAATCCTCTTGCCAAACTATAAATTAAAATGATATGCGTTATTTATCTTCCAATAAAGTTGAGAAAGGAAGCAGCAGAGTGGCGCAGTGGAAGCGTGCTGGGCCCATAACCCAGAGGTCCGTGGATCGAAACCACGCTCTGCTAGATAATTTTTGCTTTGATAAGGTTTACTTGATAAACCTTTTTATATGTTATTTGCTGTGTTTAATTTAATATTTTTGTATTTGCTTCTTTTTTTAATTTGTTTTGTTTATCGGGTTATAATAATTTTTTTTTCTCTCAATATTTATAAGAAGACCATAGTCCCGATTCGATGGGATCAGACATATTGTTTCCGTTAAATCTTCAAGATGCCACCAAACAAAAAGTAATTAGTAAGTGCAGCAGTAAGTGCGAAACCAATAGCCGTAGTCTAAGTTTGACACTGGAGTGATGTTCAAGATTTGAAATAACGGTTGTAAAACCCAGGAGAGATATCCGAGACAGTTCAGGCTCCAATCAACATCTTCGGGTTATATATACGGGGTGTTTCAGCGATGACCTTAAATAATGTCTCAAATTAGGGTGGTTGAGAAAAACTAAATGAACGCTGCGCAATAAGATTTTTTTGATACCATTGACCAATAGAAAAGCAGAGCGCGACTTAGTTTTCCTGTACAAAATTGTAAATAGCGTATTTGACAGTCCTTCGCGTGTACGTGACGTAAACATTCATGTCCCTCCTCGTTCCACCAGGACCCGCAGTACTTTCAGCACTCACACCGTCTCTAAACCATCTCCTCTGTCACGGATACATTCTCTGTTTACCAATATTGAAAATGCCGAGCTTGATATATACATTGACGTTAACGTGTTCAGGAACCAAGTGAAAGTGCTTGTTGCCGAACTTTGAAAATTGTGTGTTTGTTGCTTTATGTTTAAAACCGGCAATTGTGTTTTTCTTTTTTTGTTCTGTTCATTTTTATATACTTGTGCACCAAAGAGGAGACCTGCATGGTTGTTTTTGGGCACGTAAAATAAAATAAATAAATAAATAAACAACTCGTTTTGGGAACAAACTACCAGCTACGGCGTATGTGAGGGATAAAAAAAAACGCACTAATCTGCTAAATAATTCACTAAAGGTTACTAATCAACCTTTCGATTAGTGAAAATAAACGTGGGGCTCTAAATGTTCGTTTTTTGACTTAATTAAAAACACCAACAGCAATAAGTTTAATTTTAAAACACAATCTTTGAACCCCGAAATCGGAAACCGAGGAACGGAGTTAGAGAACACAATCGTGCAGGCGGCAGAGCACAACGGCAGGACTCGCACCACGCATAATTCAGTGGCCTAAAAATATCAGCCCCTCGACATGGCATTTGAACAACAGCAGTGCAATAGGGTTGCTGTTGACAAAAAACAGGTGGTACGAAAACCAACAAGGCTCGTTAGACTTCAAGCAGCAACCTACCATCTGTGCACGCCAGAAATTGATAAAAAAATACTTCTAAATTGTTACGGCTCATTTAAGGCTTAATTGGACACCAGTCGGAAAAACTTGAGTTCCGCGGTTGAATGCCCCACGCAATCTGCTATAAGGCCCTACGCTGTACAGCTGGTATAAATAGATGTTGATAAGTAAATAACATGGTAAAAATAAACAAAAACCTATTACCGTGTTAGAAAAAAAAACGCGATAGTATAAGAAATTAATAAAAAAACATATGTGCGGAGCGGAACTTGCACATGCCACTTGTTAGGCCAAACCAAATCTTTAGTTCATATATTTATTCTGAAAGCATTACCACAACAACAGCGTTCTCGGAAACCAAGGTCAGAGACCCCTTGTCCTGGTGAGAGTATAAAATCGGCGTTCAATGCCCGAAAGTCTCACACTTTCGCCGCCAACCCACCCAACAACGTCTGCTACAATCGGCTTAAGGTGATTGCCTTTGCTGAGCTCGTCCATGGAATTGATTTGTACACTATCACATCTACGCCGGCATTAGGACCTGCTTTTTACCTTTTCAGGAGCTCGCTTTTGAACCATGAAGTTCGCTGTCATTTTCGGTATTGCCGCCCTGCTCGGTGAGTAGACTCGCCGTTTATTTTGTTCGTTCGTTCGTCCGTGAATTTTCCCCTAAATTTAGGGTGAGAAATTTACACCTCGGGACTTAAAGATTAATTTAGTTTCCCCGCTAAATTTAGCAAAAAAACACGTGACCTGACGTCGCTTCACGTCAGGGCTGGGCAGTATAGCGATAGTATCTTAGAGATACTTTCCAGTATCTGTATCTCTGTATCGAGACACATTTGGAAAATGTTTGTATCTCAATATAATACTAATAATTGGGGTTGTAAGGATGTTTAGACAGCGTGTAGTTGGTCAGACATTTCAAAGATGCGACGAGTCACTCGCTTTAAATGAGAAATTTAGCCAGTGCAGTACGACTGCTAGCCTGGATTCTTTAACGTGCATCACGCAGTAGTGATACACGACCGCACGCCGGTACGATGCTCATCCAGATCGAAACGGGCAGGGGTGGGGATTGAACCCATGATCTCCGGGTTCGGCAGCGCGAGCTTTCGCTCCACGTGGTCCGAGCTGGTGTGCGCTAGCCCACTTGGCAAACAGTAAACAAACAGTAAACAAAAGTATACACCTTTGCAAGTGGGATCCCGGCTTAACCTCGAACCGCGCGCCAAGGTGAGGCGGGCCTACTCTCCAGCCAGGACGTTCGCTGGTTGTCGTACAATGTTGCCAAGCGTCTCTCGCCGAAGCACACGCCACTAAGCGCAGAAGGAAATTGAAAAAATAACTATAAAACGTATACGTGTCGTCGTCGACCGCGAAAGAGTACGGATAATTAAGTGAAACGCCTAAACCGTTAACAAATCGAAAAATTTCAAAAATATCTAAAGTCTCAAGGCGCTCTTCAGAATGCGCCATAAGTCGCATGGCCTTTGCATCAACGATGGCTGCGCTCGCGGCAGCTCTGGCTTCCACAACATGCAGGAACAGAGGCTGCGATCGTTATAGAGTCAGCTCCAACCCTTAAAAATGCCCCGTCCTACAATATGTGATGCTACGATTCTATGTGGATACCTCCTCCTGCGTTCCGAGACAGTAAGTGTGCCGCTAACGTTAGCCATCGGCGATGCAGCAAACGGCACCATCTTGTCATCGCGCACCCCACTGACGTGCCCCAAGCGCACCCCAGCATGGCGGAAACGGTACGGGGCGCCAGCATCGCTCAAAATGGCAGCGCACAGGAGCCGTTCTTGCAAACGTGTATATGGGAATTATTTCGGTGGGAAAGGTCTAAGTGAAATCATCATAGTAAAACTGGAGTGATTTACATTATAATTTAAATCTTGATTTAAATCATGACTTAATTCGTTTTGATTTTGATTCTCCAATTTGAAATATAGGTTCTTTCCCACTCAGTGAAACGACGGTTCAATATGTTATAAACACGTTTAAACGGTTGTGCCTTAAATACTGCATTTATTTAATTATAGGACTTTGGGGGATGAAGGTCGCTGTCAAGTTTTTGCTGAAAGGCAGGCCATAAAAGGGTGCGGAAACGAAACTCCAGCGCTCATTTTTTAGCTTTAATGTGTTGCATGTTGCAGCATAACCTCAAAAATACCAGTCTTCCGTTGAAAGGCGCAAGAAAACTAATTTTAAAGTTAATTAAACGATGTTTCAATGTGCACCTGGTGGATGCATGCAGAGCCTATTTGGTAGGTAATCTAGCAACGTCGGAGAACGTGCTACGTAGTCATGGCGTAGCAAGTTCCATCGGAGCAGCGCCGCTCTTTGGAATTCAACATTTTCCTTCTTAGCTTTCCTCCTCAACTCACAAATCGCGCATTGTACCAAACAGTCCAAGAAGACAGAAAGGAGGAACTCTCCTCTTGCTCGGACCCTCGTTTGTGTACTCGGACACAGCCATTCTTCCCCTAGAAGATTAGCGCGTCGGTCAAAATTCGGACAAAAGTTGCTTTCCCTTGAGAGCCTTCATGAAGGCACCCTAGATTTCTCCACCCCGTTCACCCCTAGGCTGACAATGCTTCAGACGCTACGTGCCCCTTGGGCCAGCCACGCGCTCGTCACCCCACAGGTACTTCGAACGGCTCGGTTGTAATGGGTAGCGCCATTTTGAGAGCGAGAGAGAAAATGGGAATAGGCTACCGGCGCTTCCCCCACGCTGGGTAGTTAGAAAGAGTGAAAGTCCCGGATGAGAGGCTTCGTCAGTGTTGAGTGTAAGCAGTGCCCGCACTTTGTTCGCGCTTTCTTTTCTGTTTCTTCGTTTCGTTCGCGCTTTCGTCTCAAGCCTTCTCAGATACACGAATATAGTTTTCATTTTGTACTGTATACGATGAACGGCTACGTAATATCAAACATTTACATAACCTTCTCTGTTTAACTACTTTAGCGTTTACATCTTGTTCGAGTCTTGTCATCTCCCTATAGACGAAATGTAGGTTTTAAATGAAATCAAAAGGTACCGTGACCGCCTTTAGCTTGGAAGGCTCGTCAGTCCACGCGCTTTTATAAAAAAGAAAAGAAGGAAAGGAAATAGATTAAATACGTCTTTCGAAAGTTTCGTGGTTTAATAATGCCGACACTGTTATTGTAATACAAATTACAGCAATTGATTGACAGTTTTGCGAGAGTTAAAGTGATCTGACCACAGAGCGCAAGCACAACAGCCTGCCGATATTCTGCTGTCTAGAATTCTAGATCTTTCATCGCGAATTGATTTGTTCTTTTACGGCTTCAGTAGTCAAGGCACGGTAAATATAAGAAATGACTGGCGTAAATGCTCTGGGCCAGGGGAGTGGCCGTGGTGTTATGCATTTCACAAAATGGACGTTTCAGAGCTTTTAGGTTTTGCATTGTAGACTAAGGCATTACGCAAAATACCAAAGACGTATGCCATGAAAACACCAGAGGACTGACATTGATCTGAGAATAAACGGCAATGTACGCGGCAATGTTCTTAAGTTGTTCGAATGTTTCTTTTTTACAGGTTGGGCGGAAGCAGGACTGGGTGAGAAGCACAACGCGTTGGACGATATTTTTACATTACATCAGACATTGTTTCGTGGGCCTTTTTATGTCTTTGTTAAAAGCCTCATAAAAGAGCAGTGTGTGATAGTTGACCATGGGCTTTTCACTGGTCAGAATACTGGAGACTTGTACTTGTCGAAGTATCATACAAAGCAGTATTAGCTTTTGTAGAAAGTTTTAGGCCCATGCGTGGGTGCGGAGTACGACGTAGTGTCGTGTAGAGACGGATTATTGCGCAATCTAGAATATTTTATTGAACAAGATTGCCTTAATGTTTTATATATGTGGCTGTGAACCCTTCAAGAACTAATACTGAAAGCCTTGACCAAACACCTGTTACCTCCGTCACTATTTGTCAGATGGTCTAAATCCTGCGAATAGGCCAAGTATTTAGCAATTAATTTCTCAGTAATATTACCCGAATTTTTCTTTTCACGTTTGGTTAGGTTAATTTTTTTTATTTGACATGTCTGTAGAGTACATATCGGGAATATTTTAAAGATCGTGAGACACGTTTATAAACAAAACTATAAATTAAGCTTAATGGTTTACTTTATACTATAACTAACTTAAATGGATGAATGTAATAGAATCAATCACGTAACTTTGGATGTTGATTATAGTACTTAGGGAACAAAACAAAGTAATATATTATTTTATGACAAGACTAACGTACCTATAGGCAATCAGGCACAAAGACTGAAAAATGTTCCCCCGAGGTTACCCCCCCCCCCCGCCTTCATAAATAACTGCACAATAATTTGATGACTAGAATATGTTATTTATATATTCCTTCATTTACAGTTTTTACCGACAAGTCTGACCTGCAGCTGAGGCAACTCAACAAACTAGCACAAGTTGCAGGTAAATCGATATATAGAGAAACTATTAAAACTTAATTGGCACATTGCTATTCATCGAGGCTGAACACCTTCGTACTTTCTGCAGTGATACTTATTCTGCCTTTTCTTTTATTGAATGGTACAGGCTCTGACCTACAAGAAAAAGTCGGGGAAAATATCGGTGAGAAAATGTTTTACAAGAACGATTGTAGGAAAATTGTGAGCGAACAGTTACGCAAATTTTAGTGCTACAATTTATTACAAATATTCTGTGTCTTTTACTGCGTGATTGAATTTTCTGGTCCCAGTTGCCGAGTTAGGGACTTTAGGTAGCTGTGCCCCGTGTTCTAAAACGGCTTTAATTACACGTGATAATTAGAAGACTGCGAAAATTCAAATATAAAAGTTGAAATTTAAAATAGTCTGCCCCACGTGACAACTTTTTGCAATTATAATAGACTTTGTTGCTTTGAAACTATTTTTTATGTATTCTTTTGTTTATGCAGTAACAAAATGCAGTAGAGTTTAAAAGAAATTGCAGGGGCCATCTTTATTGCATTTCGGGATACTTATTTTAGATATTTGTTTAAAACGTTGTTGCTGCACAATATTCTAAAAGAAAATTATTTCTAATATATGCCAAATAACTACATCTGTCTTACATAAATAGTAGTAGTAATAGTTTTAAATATTTTTATGCTGTTGAAAATACATAATTTCATTTTTGTAATCACAACAGCACTCAAGCTGACGGAGTTTGAAGCAATACGCAAGTATATAGGCAAGTATAAGTGCTCTATAGCATTATACGCAATTGCATGGACACGATCACTCATAAACCCAAGCTTAAAATTAACCATATACAAATAAAATTTCACTACGCCTAAGAAATTTTCAAAAAGGTGTACAAATAAAGTCACCTTTCGATTTTTACCTCGCCTACCTCAAGAGTGGAATCTTCGTCTTACGAACTTACTTAGTTATGTTCTGCTTCGCCTATGCTTAGCAACTCTTCGTGGGATTAGAAACATATCACCACGTAATTATCAGTTAACATAATTAAAAATTCCAAATCATCCAGCTTAAAATATTACAAACGCATCTTAAGTGACACCGGATGAATTAATCTGGACTACTTTGCGTCCCGACATATTGAATCGGCAACCAGATATTTCGCATTCGAGTAAAAAATTGTGAGTTGAACCAAAAACTCTCTTAAAGATGCCGATATTAGAAAAATTGTCTGTAGGAAATTAGGCGATTATTCCAAGACTGAGATCCCGCTATTCTCGGAATTCCTGTTAGCTTGTGGCGATCGGTGTGTAGCATGTTGCAACTAACGGATCAAAAGCGAGCAGTTTATTGCGCGTTCTAGTTTTCGCTGATTTCAGTTGGAGTTCTTATTTCTAAATATTTAATATAATGAGTAATTTGGAAGAAGGTTTATTCAGTCGTCGTTTATGCACCATACATAAGGTTATGAGACTAAGTATTAAGGTCCGTGATTCGAAAGGTTTTGTTTTTAAGCTTCCCATTCATTATAAAACAATGTTTTACGTCCACGTTTTTCAAAACAGGCTAGCGCAGAATACAACACATAAAAGAAACGAGGGTAGCTCAGCTTGCCTTTTTGCCATTTCCGATATAATTGTCCTCAGCGATGTCATCATGTCTCCTAGACTAAATGTAATGGTGCAGGCTTGCTGGTGAAGAGTCTTACTTATTAAACCGGAGGTCAGAGGAATTTGAGACGTCTTTGAGTTGTCCACTTTTCTTTCTTTTCTCAGAGTTTTACAAAATCGTCGTGTCTTTTTTTGAAAAAAACAAAAGTCATATTATATGAAGTTACAGTATTTATACTTGATGTTAGCACAGATAAACTTTAGTTGTAAGTCAGCGCCTTGTTCGTCTACCTTCTTGTTCTTGTTCATGTCCTTGCGCTGTTTTAATTTTTAATCATATTATAGTTTTTTTATTTATTTTGTGTTTTAACCTACTGCCGATCACCTTGAGATTTTTGCAGGGTTTGGGACAAATAAAGAATTTACAAAATGAGGAAAATAATAATAGAGACAGAAAAGAAGAAATACAATTGAAAACAAAATTAAACCCTTGTATAACTAAAAAAGGGCATATCTAGGCGGTTTCAGTTTCTGGTGGATGAAAAAAAAGAATGCATAAAGTTTTCGGTGTAATTTCAGCTCAAATGGTGCAAAAATAATGGGTCCTCAAAAAAATTAAAAATAAATAAATATATATGTTGGTGCTAAATGAGTGACCAGAACAATACTGCAAATTAGAACTGCGCCAACATTTTCACTCTTGAGTTCTTGACTTCGAAATGGCAGTAGGTTGGTCTTGCGATTTTTGCAGTTTTCACGAGTGACATTTTAGAGCTTTGCAACATGTATGTGTCGTTCTCTAAAACAATTATATATTATTTCTTATTGTTCTCGGACCTCGCATAAAAGGGTTAAAGTTCTCTATAAGTGTTTTTTTATTTTATTTTATGAAATCAAAGTTTTTTTTAAGCTTGCACCTTTGACAATCATGGGTCAAGTTTAAATCGAGATACCTTTGGATGTACAATTATTTAAGGCATAAGAAACATAAAATGCAAGCTTTTATCTAAGTCCATATAAACATTAGAACACTGTTAATTTAAGTACAGTTTATATACAAGACACAACGCTGTAAACTTGAGAACGAAACCTAAAAATAAAAAATCCAACCTCATTCAAACACACATTTTTTTATTTTTCTAGCTTTTCATATAAAAAAGCTTTTTTTAATGTGTTCTTAAATGTGCAATAAAATTTTATTGACATACATGGTTTCGGCATATCCAGCAGTGCGTTTAAAAAGTAAGACACACTAGCACCATTATCGCACGACGCATTTATCTGTCATTTTTTTACTTAAATATAAGTTATTTTTGTGAAATGATCATAGTTTTCATTTGTTCCTAGTCCACATACAGTTCGGTAAATCTTAAATGTTTATAATATTTATTGCAGAATGTGGTAGGGGGTTCTTCCGCACGTTCAGTTTGCTTACTTAGTAAACTACGGAAATCGACACCATTCATAAATAATGTTTAAGCGTTGCCATATGAGATTAACAGACATATATTGGACGTTTCAAATGTTTTCCGTGAGAAAATAGAGCACCCGTGGAGAAAAACATTTGAAAGCGACGGCCCACCAAGCACGTCAATGAGCGTGCGTGAATCTTTTCTTTCTTCAAAAAAACTTCCTTTACACGATAGCTCCGCTAGGTTTGTTAAAACTTTCCAATCTCTGTTTTTCCTATCGGCGCCGTCTATGTTTGCGAAACCAAACGTATGTTCTAAACACCGAAGTATGATATGGTATGAAACTATCAGTTCTGATAGCATCGCGCCGCTTCAGCGCTTCCTTTCGTTTTTCTGCAATGTGCGCGTCTTCCCTAATTTATCCTTTTTTATGTTTCCCTTTTCTTGTTGAAATATCTTATAAGTACCTTCAGCGTATATCCTGTGGGCGTTTTCTACTTTGTGTTCCGTCTTTTTTGTGCTGTTTTTTAATATGTCGTTCAACCAATCAGCCCAGCAAGGTATCCTGTTAATGTACCTTCAAAGTTCTCATAAGCTGCACTAGCCTTTTCTTCGACGGATAATGGAAACGAAAGGGCAAACCACGAGCCAAGTGGGACGTAGACATGCCACCACCCTTTTTAACTACACGTGAGTGTCGCATCCCCTTCTTCGATAGCTGCCGGGGTTGTTTATTTACTACAGAAAAAAAGCCACTATGAACATTAGAAACAACTAACATATCATGAACCATGCATATGACAGAAAGGAAGAAGCTATAGACAACCTGTGATTACCAGGAGGCGCACCAAAGCTAAAGCTTTCAAGCTGGTGCCTGTGAGAGCGGCAGCATTTCCCTCTCGTTTTGCTTCGCTGGCAGGTTCACATATCTGGTATTGCATCTCAGTTTGTTAGACAATGTTCACTAAAAACAAGAGAGGAAGCCCCAACTATTTGCCTGGCAGCAATATCAAAAGTGGGCGGTCAAGAATTCAGTCTCGAAGACATTAAGAAACTTTGCTGATGTGCCAACACAACTGAGGAGTGCGTTTTGCTGACCAGCAAGGTTTTTCCAAAAGGAGACGGTTTATCCATGACATCGTTGTCAATCAAGGAAAACGAAGAAATTGAAGTAGCTTTTGCGGGAATCTGGCGAACTACTAAACAAAGAAATGGGAAGTAACGCATTTTGCAATAAGCTCCGAAAGTGCGTAACAAAGCACTTCCCCATTAATTCACTCGACAGGCTCAGCGTGTTGCTATAAGCTCCGAAAAGTCGTATCTCAAGGCTCGGCTCGTACCATTGTGTTGCATTTTGATTTTGTGGAAAACTGGAGGCGTCGTCCTTTCGCGAGAATACAATGCTTTCATTGCAAGAACGAAAGGGTTTCTATCTTCCCCTGCGTCGTCGCTATACAGCGAAGCGCAAAATGTACGGTCTCGGAGTTGTCAGTGACGACATTGTGCACGATACAGCACAGGCACTGTTCCCTCTGCGCGCAGTTGAAGAGTGGTTGGAAGATTCCGATATTTACAAAACTTGTCCACATCTTTGACGGGGCAATTAGTCATTTCAAAAGTATGTTTCAAAAATACGAAATGGCGAGGGGACAAAATGTGGCCAACATTGATTTTTTTTTTTCAGCAACGGGGCACGGCGAAAGTGCTGGAAGCCGTTGGAAGTGCTGATAATATTGCTGGTGCAGTGGCCCTGAAAGTACCTCGAATTGTACCCCTCAAACATAAAGAAGCATGACTCCCCAAATACCGTGACACCAAGAAAAAGGAATCGAATTATTTTAGTCTTGTGAAAAAACAGTTACTCTTGCCACCTCTGGATGAAGGCTCAAAATAGAGATGGGTCTTTCAGGGTTGGGTATAGAAAAATTGCGAGCCCCCAGAAGAGTAATGTTAACCTCACCTAAAATCACTTTCCATTTATCACCATAAGTGTCACTGTGAGCTTATAATACTAAAGATGCTATGTAATGTTATGCATTTCCCCCGTTTATTTGTACTTTTTGTTACTGCCTCACATAAAAATAAATTAAAGAAGTTCTGATCGAGCCTCGCCAGTATACGTGAAAATGCGGCCGTATGACAAAAGCAAAATTTCGCACTCGGTCCACTGGGGATCTTAAAATAATGTATTTCCCCCTTCGCCTGACACAAAGGTTTGTAAAACTTAATTTTTCTGCTTTTTAAATAAAGAAGTTTAGTTAAGTTTATTTAGATAACATTTGTACACGAACTTATATATCAAAAACACGATGGTCACGTTTGAAGCATATATATAATAATTACGTAAAAGTGTTAACGGCCCATATAAATTTTTATCTTAAAATGGAGAGGCAGACATGTATTATTTTCAAACGCACCGCTTAATTTGATGAAATCATATATCTAAAACAAAATTATTGCTTATTTGGGAACACAAAGAAAACGTTTAATTTAAAGAATAGAAAAGAATGTTTGTTTTTTTAAAATAACATTAGAAGTTTTTATATTTAGCTTTTCTTTTCAAGTTTACAGTGTTGTTTCTTCTGTATAAAATATACTTAAATTAACAACAATCTGCTTTTGCAATAGGCTTAGCTACAAGCTTTCATTTTGTATGTTTATTGTGCCCTAAATAAATGAGTATCGAAAGCTAGCTCGATTCAAACTCGGCCCAATATTATCAAAGGTGCAAAATTCAAGAATTTTTACTCCACAAAATAAAATAAGAAACACACTGCTAGAGAATTTTATCTCTTGAGTCCGAAGTCTCAAAGCTGTAAAATAAGTTATAATGGTTGTAAAAGAACAGCAGCAACAACAATCTGAACGAATTGGAAGGCTTCAAAATGTGTCACTCGTGAAAACAGCAAATTTCGGTAGACCTACCTTATGCCCTTTCTAATCCAAAAATTCAAGAAAACATTTTCCATTGTTCTAATTTTCAGTTCTGTTCTATTAACAGATTTTCCCAAAATATTTCTTTCCGGAAATTTTCTGAAGACCGATCATTTGGTTTGCTTGATTTTGAGATTAAATCAACCTAGTGTTAGAAGAATACTCAACAAGTGTATTGCTATGCTTATGTATAGTGTCTCTTGTTTCTGATAACCTAACATACGTGTTTTTATAAATTTTAAATGCGCAGTTCAAAAAAGAAAACATACATTTTAGTCGACCTAGTTGTGAGCGATCAGTGTAATGTCCAATGAAACAGCATGTTTTACTAGTTATGCTGGGGAATGCAAACCGCTGTATTTGTGGTAAACAAATCAAACTGTCTTTCTCCGGACCATTTTTATAATACTTACATTCTTCGGTGTATGTCGAAATCAGGATATATTTTCGTATTTTAGCACTGGACGCGCAAGATTGGTGTATGCTAAAAATTTTATTTCACGAGTGGAATACCTTAACGTTCTCCTCAGAAATATTAATTTTGCAAGGGCTTCGTATGCTACATATTTAACTTGTGCGTTCCAGCTCAGGTCAGATGATAAAATACTACCAAGAGACGTATATTCAGTTACCCTACGCAGGTTTACACTGTAAACACTGTACAGAAACCAACTATTTTGTTTTCCTTGCTAAGCATATAAAAACGGTTTTGCCTGAATTTCGAGCCATATATTCCAGTTATCACACTAATCGGCTACCTTTATTAGATATTCGTTTAGAACAATTTAGTCAGCTTAGCTCGTTATCTTTGGATACACTATACAATCTTCGGAAAAATTTTTACATTTGCATCGATGCCATCAACAATGTCGTCTACATAGAACAAAGCTTAAAAGTGGTGCAAAAACAGAACATCGCGGACACCAGATAATCCAATAACAGGTCGTGAGGCACGTCCTTTATAACATACCAAATGAAACCCATTTCTTCAGTAGTTCTCAATCTAAGATACTATATTACCCTTACCCATAACGTGTGTCAGTTCTGTTAAGAAGTTTGATGTGTGAAACACGATCGAACGTTTTCAACTGCGTTTTGCCTACCAGCTATACACATTTTTGTAAAACGCAATAGAGTATTTAAAAAAATGTCGACACAGCAATTTCTGAAGAGTATACTTTCCGTTCTGCGGTGCATTTAGTACATCATGACAAAACGTGACAATATTGATCTCATAAAACGCATATGAAGTGTACTCTGCTGTAACTTCTTTTGTCTTTGTTTATATACAACGCGTCTTTTGTGAGTGAATGATATTGATCCTTCCTTTTCCGACAGGTTTCGTCAAACATAGGGGTAAGTTGAGAAATACGAATTAAAATTAATGTTCACTGGCAAAACCGTGATAAAATTTTCACGAGAGGCCCCATTATTCAATAGGTTGTGTAATCATACTTGAGTTAATAAGCTTGGAGCAGTACGTTATTAGACTTCTTCTATTACTATCTTTGCTGCAGAGGTGTTTTTTACAATTGGAATTACAAGCATAAAATGTTTCATTGCAATTATGCACTACTTTAAAGCGTGATGTAATTCCTCCTCGGTTATGTTTTGTTTGAGAGCTCCCAACCTCATGAGTGATGTTGTCGTGCTAGAATTTTCTTTGTGCTAAAATATGTTTGTTCGTTTTGTGGCGTATCTTTATTGCGTGCTAGTCTATATATTTTGCGTCTTTGTTTTACTTACTTTACTAATGATATAATGTAGCTAAGTTTGAGTTTAAAATAATTTAACTGTATTATTATTATTTTTCAACATTTCCAATATTATCAGGGTACGTATTCTCGACATCGGCAGCTCAATATAAAGTGATATACTAAGTGTTCTAAGCACTGAAAGAATATAAGGGAGTCTCAAACTCTTCAGTATTCTAGAAAGTTCTGGCATGATTGGCAATAAGATATTCACTTGTGGCTTCAAGAGTTGCAAAGCTGTTTCCACAGCCGGAACCTTGGTGCGATCTCTCCCCTCTTAAAGCAACACGGGTTGGCCCATAAGGCAATCGTGTAGGGTCTCAATGTTTGACCGAAAATGATTTTATGCAACGAGGTTCTAGCGTGACAAAATCATTAGGAAAGTGGTTGCATTTGTAATTGATAAAATAGTAAGGGTGCAGGCGAGCTGGTGGATGTTAACCATGCTGCATATACTTGAGACTGGGGTAGAAAAGAACATAAGAGTCGAAGAAACAGAAAGGGACAGGACGACGTCTCAAAACTCAGCTATCAGGTTTATTTAGTCCTCCTCCTTATATAGCCACAATCAGCCCACCACCAACACAAAGGGGCAACTCTAACCAGTTCATACGCCAAACCCTCCAGACAGTCACTACCAACACAAAGGGACTGTCTGGAGGGTTTGGCGTTTGAACCGGTTAGAGTTGCCCCTTTGTGTTGGTGGTGGGCTGGTTGTGGCTATATAAGGAGGACTAAATAAACCTGATAGCTGAGTTTTGAGACGTCGTCTTGTCCCTTTCTGTTTCTTCGACTTTTATGTTTTTTTTCTACCCCAGTCTCAGGTATATTCAACATGGTTGTAATTGATATTTAGCAGTCACTGAGGCTGAAGCCTAATTAAATGACAACTGCAATTTCGCTTGGGAGCTGTAGTCAATTGCAGTTGCTAAATACTAAAATGTTTGTTAAGGTAGTTTAATTACTGAAATTTAATTAATATCAAAATGTGCCCATGTTATCCAAAAAGGCTTTGATACAATATTCTTTTGTAGAGATTGCTTTCATTGTTTTTGTTTTATGATGTTTTAACCGATACATTTGATAGATGCTAGAACACACGCAAATACCATAATCCGTAATTCGACATTCGGATGTATTTGAACCCTTTAACTATAAGTTTTAATTATAAACTGAAGCTGAGAACATAACTGCGTAACAAAATTAAGCTGTTAATGGACAGAGCGATTCCGCTTAAATAGCTAAACCAAATATAATCCATTGCCTTTGTCACCCATGGTCTGGAATCTAGAATCAATGATACACGGTTCACATTGAGCCGTCCATGCGTGCGAAAACAGGGTCGCCATGCGTTATTCTTCGTCCGACGCTGCCTTTCAATACATGTATTTTATTTTGCTATCCCACCAGGTGAAAAGGAAGCTAGAAAAGTACTGAAAGGTGAGATAATTTTAGCTTTCACTAAACAACGCTTCGGAAACTAAATAAGTGACGGTACATAATTTCACGCAAAAAAGTAAGTGTACTACGGCAGCTGTTGCTTTTTGCTTGCGAAATCCTTTTATTAAAACTCGACGTATATTGCTAAGCAACTATTAGAAAAATTGAAAATAATTTAACGCTCTCTTCATGGTTTCTTAACCCATTAAACTTAATCTAGAATGGTCTCGTGAGTCCGCGATAAGGGTGCTGCTCAATGTGTAGCATTCCCGATTAAAAGAACCTTAAAGGCTCTGAGAGCTTTAGAAACGCAGGGCCAAACAGAGTCCCTTGCATATCATTATCTCCCTCAGTCCAATCACAGTGCGGCGTCAGGTGATAAAAGCGCTGGCGAAGAACCAATCGAGACGCATGATGATCATAGGCCATTTGCCTCGCACTTAAAAGGGCGATGCAACAATTTTCTTACTTTGCGCAAATGCCGCTTAAGGGGTGACACTACCCAAAAAAGTGAATCCTTAAACCACTTGTCCGATTTAAAATCCGTTTACAGGGCTTGTTTTTGTTGATGTTGAGAACATTTCTGCCAAATTTTGTTAACCTGGGTGAAGTACAAAAAAAAAAAATTTCAAAAGTTCAAAGATGAAAGTGGGCGTATCTGCGTAGGAAAGCTATCGTTCTGAAATTCCTTGTGAATTTTTCAATTTCTTGTGTTATATTGCTTTGGAACAGTTCAGAGCAGATAACTTTGGAGCTATATTTCTTTATTGTACCATCTTTAATGACAAAAAAGTCACATATACACACATACTGTTTTTTTTTAAATTTCCACCCTTTGTCCAAAATTTTAGCTCTTGAGCATGAAAAATGACAAAAATAAGAAATACAAGCTTATAGTCATCTTCCCCTTAAAATTTCACCTCAGAAAAACTCATAAAAGTAAATCCAAATTACGTAATAACAAAATTTTCTAAAGTGAAATTTATGCCAAAAAGTGGAATGGAGAAAAATGCATTCAAAGTGCTCCAACCTCTACATTTTCTTCACCATCGGCGGATAAAAAATAATTTACAAAAAATTGACTATGCAGTGTAAACTAATGAAACGTTCTGGGAATACTCTCTAGATGTTGGCGGATATAAATATGACATTTTTCAAAATAAACGTTTTTGTTCAGAAATTTTTGTTTTTGTTTGGGGGTAGTGTCCCCACTTAAAACGGGTCCCTGAAGTGCCTATGAAACACGCGTTCGTTTTTTTTTTACTCCACGCTATAAAAGTTTCAGAAAAAAAATTAAAGAAAAACGAGCACCGTTCACCCCCTCAACTTGCAGCCAGAACAAGCGGCCACGTGATCTGGAGCCCTTTATATGCCGCCAATGTTGATCATAGCCACGCGCAGTGGTTGCCAAAGCACAGGAAACGTGCTGAGTTCCAGTCATTGTTATGGCTCGGCTATTGTCGTCGTTGCAGCGATTGGACACGGGCCACTACCCGAATGCATGTCGAGGCATTGATTGTCACGAGCCCAGATCAAATGCAAACGCAGTCTTTGCGTCCACTGTGTGAGCAGCATTTGAATATCGTCAACGCAAAAGCTCGATGGCGCATTCCCGGGGATAGTACTGTTGCCATTGTCCCCACAGCTCCGTCCTCAAATTTCGCGAAGGAGCAAAAGGCGTCTTTGGAAGGAGAGACTGAAAGAAAAGCTCGCTTTCATCCTTTGAATTCCGCCGCGACGAAGACGCTTCTTGGTCAGTGGTGTTGCGTTCAAGTATTCTTGGGTCCCACCAGTGCCAGGAAGCTAGTGTAAAGTAAGAATTGTTCCTACCCAATGTCGTTGCACAGCCCCTTTAAACTATCGGTGACCGTAGAGCAATACTCTTACAATATATTGTCTGCGACATAGACACTGTCAGACTTTTACAAGATTTTCAAATACTTAGGTAATGTTAGATCACCAGGGCAGTGCTGCTCAGGTATTTTCAGACAGTGGTAAAATACTTTTACAAGAGGATTCACGAGCGCTTTATAATTGTCGTCTGCTTGCAGATAACCTGGTGTCAACTGAAGAGCAGTACGCGGATCTGAGGAAGCTCCTGAGATCTGCCGGTACGTGAAAACCGTAAACAAATTCGCCGTCTGTCATTTCCTAGTTTCTATTAAAATGCGAGCTTCAGAGAATACACAAAGCTGTGAATCCCCGCTGATGCTAAAATGTCTGGGAGTCCGGTTTATTGACGTAATAGCGATGCTGCTATATCTGTGAATACGGCGGGATATTTTTCTTAGCTAATAATTATCAGTACAAATCTAATTCGCTCACGGGATCGAGTCGCCTAATTTACACCAAAACGCAACGAACTTGGGCTATCAAACTTGAAACGAATTCTTTAAGTCTTCGAAAAGTTTGTGCTCACGCATTTGAGCGCGTCTTTTTTATTACCAGAAAATTATTTAGCCTGGAATATAATCTTAATTTCGATTGTATAAGAACGTTTCTCAAATAAGCTAGACTTTTTTTTCTTAAGATTCGGCACCTTTTTCTACAATCCGATGTAACGAACGGCACCCGTGAAATTCACATCAAAGTAGGAAACTAAAGTAGAGGCAAGCTGTAGGGACTTCTGGTAGTCGTCAATGGTAACGTTCAAGCAAACTTTTATTTACACTATCTACAAGCTGCAAGCGATGCGATCTGACGTGTCTTTCCCATGTTGATTTGACGCACAAGCTCTCAATCTTCTCCTTTTCATTTTGTCGTCTTCGATCTCCTCGTGCCAGGAATGTGGCGTATTACGAACGACTTAAACGTTCCAACACAAGCATTATATATCGAAGCCAGGCTCCCAATATATGCCGTCCTGAAATAACGCAGAAACGTCACTTTTCTTTAAAATTTACACTGATGAACTATGCTCAAGAAGTAAACCTTTCTGAGAAAATGCTCTACTACTCGTACTTGGGGTTGCGCTACTTTCATTATTTCATGGTGTGTAGGCGACAGTTATTTAGTTGATGCAGGATTTGAGAAAATACCTCCTTACTCTTGCATTAAAGCCCACAAAGCTGTCCCATCATAATTTATATTTTTTTCACAGGCGCGGCATGACGGAAAAAGCTTAATAACACCGTGGCTAAGTTATTTACGTTAAACGTCTGTTCAACAAGTAAAATGTGGTTCCTCGCCGAAAAACGTGATTTATATGTCTGACTGAAGCACGGGCACAACAGACGCTATCTAGTTTCATGCATGAAGATTCTATAGGGTCACTGTGAACGCGACGTCATACTCTTTAAACCTTCTATTTGCTACTAATCTACTAAGGATTCCGGTAAAGTTTAAATAAGCAATTACTGGTGAAATTAAAGAGAAGTTTCCTTCGTTATAAATAGCTTTCATTGACGTCACATGATCAAACACATTGGAGAAAACAGCCCGCGACAAGGTAGCTTCCGCTGCGTTAACAAGGCGCTCTGGCCACCAGAAAGAGGAGTGAACTGATGTCACGTGGAAGGCATGTACAATTTCTACATCTGTGTCATGTATATTCCGTGTCTTTTGTTTATATCGAATGTAGGCTTTAGGAGAAGTTGAGATTTGTTCCATCTTTTTATATAAATAAATTGACAGACCAAGGACAAACCCTATTGCGTTCATTACAAAGCCATAATAAATTGCGACTTAAAAAATATCATATACTAACACGTTTATGAGTGTTATACTGTCTTTGACAAAATCTTATTTTTAACAGAAGAAAAGCTCCAACACTTTCGCAGCCTCCTTTCGTAGCGTAGGTGAGTACATAATGCAAAAATAGTTTTTAGTTCAACGAACGTTTGTAGAGAATTGAGTGAATGTCGAAACAGCACTCTAATGAGTGCTGTTTCGACATGTTGTGTGCATCTATATTTTTAACAAAAAAAATATTCTTCAAAAAATGCTGCTGCTGCTACCCCTTTTCTTCTATGGTTTATGAAAGTATCTTTCAATACGTTTAATATTATTATTATGAAGAAACAAAAAGAGCAAATAGATTTCAAATGCAAAAAAAAACATGTTTAAAGGCTCGTATAAAGCAGTATTTTTTTTTTTTTGAAATTGGCATTTGTGTCAGAACGAAATAAATAATGGCTGGCAGTAAATTATGTCGCTCTTTAAAGGAATGGTGAACCGAACATTTTAGTGTCTATAATAAGCGGCACACTATCATTTTATGAGTCATCAGCCGCCGGTGTGCGCGAGCACACGGAACGAAATTGACGTCATCATATTCCCCATTCACGCTTAATAAGCTTAAATTGGGGATATGATGACGTCAATTTCGTTGCGTGTGCTCGTGCACACCGGCGGCTGCTGACTCATCAAAAGGTAGTGTGCCGCTTATTATAGACACTAAAATGTTTGGTTCAGCATCCCTTTAAGTGCCCACAAAGTTGAAAACATGCGTCTTTAGTCAATATCAATTATCGTTTCGTCGTATTTTCTGCTTTGCAGCCTACCACTATTTTTTCTTTGCAGGCCAACCACGTGATTAAGTCATCGCCAACATTAGGACGTACATGGAAGTCACTCTAAAAATTTCATATTTGGTCTGTCAATAAACACGCCGTTTTTGTGTTGAAATGTCAGTGTTTTGCATTTTTTTATTAATTAGCGTAGTACGAATACTTATGGTGAGTTTTATTAGTTTAATACAATTGCTACATTAGCTGCAACTTGATTACATTGTTATTTGTGTTGATTGGTTTATGAGGATCGAGTTAGAATCTTCTTATTATCGCCGAAGTTTGATTGAGTGTTCTTGGCGCCATTTACTCGAAGTTAACAAACCATCCCATTTTCCGTGGTAAGTCAAAGCTAAAATGGGTTTAGCAAAATAATTTGTTGGACTACTTGGTTATAATCATTACGATAATAAATAGCGCGAAAGACAGGGACAAATGGAAGACGGTTGTGCTTTGTAGTCTTCCGCTTGTCCTTGTCTTTCGCGTTTTCGATTTTCGTGAGCTATGATGGGTTTGTTTGATGGTTGAGAAGGGGGGTTGCACGTGCGTTTTTATGATTTCTCTTGACTTCTACTGACCACTGTGACTATCAGCGGTGCCGACCAAGTAAAGAGATTTGCTTATACGAACCGGAACTTGAAAATTCAACAACAATATTTAAAAAAAAAAAAAAGAATCAACATGGAACTCCAGGTTTCCCGTGGTCATGCCACTGCGCACACGGCTCGGGAGGCGGTGAGTGTGTCGAGAGGTTTCGCAAACTTTAGTTTGTGTTTTTACTTTTGACATACGAACCAGCGGGTGCAAGCAAAGTAATATTTGTTTACGAAAATAATCGCTGGAGAAGGGAAACAAGAAGGACAAAGGACAAACACAAATCTCCAAACCTCCAGGGATTATTTTCGTAATTCTTGTCCAGCTCGCTTGCACCTTTGCATTTGATTGTTTTATAATAATATCTTCTGTTCTTCACTCTTAAAGTGGAAAAAATTTCGGCCAGACGAAAAGTCGTTTCACTGCCCCGTTAACTTGTGAAATTTCCGGATTGTTTAGGGAAAACATACAAAATGTTTGAAGAAACCTCACGATAACCTGGTGAGAACACGCAATTGTCTGCAAAACATCTATATGTCTGGCGAACTGCTTACATTTTCTATAAAAAAAAAAGCTCCATATTCTCTGCGCTAATATTGCTATAGAAAACAAAGATGTAGTACGAAACCTCTGAACTCTGTCGAACCCCCCCCCCCCCCCTCCTCCCCACTACTACACTCGTCGTCAACGCCGAGGTGAACCGTCATTTGTGTTGATCGCTCGCCGCGACTTTCGGCGATGCAAGTCCGCGAAAAGTCGACTGTAGTGGAGGGAGCGGCAGGGGTCTCTGAAGAGAGGATCCAATGGGAAACCAGGTGGTCCCTCAAAGACGTCAATTGGAAGACGGCGTGAGAGTTGAGGGAAACTGACTTTCGATTTGCGTATTTTGTTTTTAAAAAGAAAAACTAGAGCACGCAAAAAACAGGTTTTTTTATTTTGTAGAAAATTATCTTACAAATCGAAATAAGTTTATAGAAATGTACCATGAAAAATGAAAAGTAAATAACATAAAAAATGAAAGCAAAAACAAAATATTAGCGAAGAATTTTTAATGTTGCTTCCTGAGACACCCTTTGGTCCAATATTCGAGTCCCCTTTTTGAAAGAGTAATAGATGGGTTGCAGACGAACCTGGATCCTTCGTCCTTCAGTGCTTGATGCTTATATAATTTCCCTGCTGAGTTGTTTGGGACTCTTGCCTTACATTAAACTTGTTTAAAAGCGCCGAACACCCGCAGTTCCCACAGTGTATTCCTAAATTTCCCAAGTTAGCGTTGGCGATGTTGTTGCCATGCCCTCAAAGAAAGTCATTTAGACACCGTCCAGTCTATGTACTCTCCCACTCAGAAAAGTGGGAAAATATAAATGTCACCCGCTACACAAAAAGCAAAGATCGTTCATAGATCGTTCCGCGTTTCTTGGAGCAACTTACTGCATTACTTGAAGGCGAGTTTACGTTTTTGCACATGCTCTAGAGCTTTTCTGGGGCTGAACTGACCACAGCTACGTGAGCTGCATTCGCTGCTTTCTTAAGGATATGAGAGAGATTTAAGTAACTTTACTCTAAACTTTAAATAGCTTTATTAACCAACGTTGAATAAATTCCAATACATAATAAATAAAAAATAAAACGTTAAATGACATGAACAACCAACTTGCACAGTCAGCTATTTTAACATTTTAATTTATGCGTCAGTATTGTAACTAACAAGGAACAACTGTTTTTTGTGCTGTGAGTTTAGTAAGAGGGGATGCTTTATATTAGTTTCCTCGAACAACACAAAAAAGTTCTCGCTGCCTTCTTTAGCACGGTCTCAATATGCAAATTCCACGTTAAGCCTTCTGCTATAGTCATTCCAAGGTATTTGTAAGATGATATTTTCTACGTAGAACCAGTTTAATAAATATTTTGCATAATGAAGGCAGACTTTGAGATTAAATGAGATGACTTTGTTCTTGGAAGAGTTAATATTAATCTGCCATGTTTCGCACTAAGTGGAAACAATGTCAAGATCAGA